TTTCAAAGATACTGTGTGAGTTATTCTGGGCTGACAACTTTTTTTTTCCTCTTAGGGTCTGGAATATGTTATTCCATTCTTTTCATTGCTTTTGTAGTTTCCTTTGTGGGTCAGCTCTGCTTCTGATTGGGGCTCCTCTGTATGTTAATTGACTTTTCCTACTTGCACATTTAGGAATGATTTTCTTATGTTCAACTGAAGGCAGCCTGATCATGATGAATCATAGTGATCATCACTGCTGGTTGACACAGTTGGGAGTTCCGGCCCCTCCCGTATTTGTTTCCCAATTCTTTCTCTGTGTTAGGGAAGTTCTCAATTATTATCTCATTGGATAAATCTCTGAACCCAGTTTCTCTTTCTGTGCTTTCTGGAACTCCCGTAACTCTGATATTTAGCCCTTTATTGGTGTACCTTAATTCCTGAGTGATTTTTCTTATCTTGACTCAATTGCTCTTCCAGTTTTTTGAATGTTTCATCATTATTTCAGGAAAAGGCTTCAATTCTGACAATTCTTTCTTCTATCTCACCATTTTATTATTGATGCTTTCCACCGAATTTTTAATTCACTCCATTGTGTCCTTTGTTTCTAATAATTTGGCTTGATTTTTTTCAATGTTGCTATTTCCTGTGTAACGTATTACTTGAACTTCTGTGCATGTTTCTCATTGTTTTTAAGTACATTTATAACATTTGAAAAAAATCTTTTATCTTCCAGTTCCTCAAAGCCTTCCTCGGTTACCTGTGAGGTTGACAAAGGCTTTTTGCTCCTTTGCAGGAAAGGCATTCATAATTTTAATTGTGCCTCTCTCTCTTTCTTTGCTCTTGGTCATTGCAACTGTGATTAGTGGATTCTTCTCCTTAGGGCCAAATTTTAATTTGTGGTTGCCCACAGTCCTACAGATTGACTTTTCTGATCCCACTCAGTACCCAGTTCTTCATTTGTTGACACTTGTGCCCCCCTTTCCAGTGAGATTCAGTCCCAAGTTCCCATGCTGCACTCTCGGGTTACCACTCTCCATCCCCTGTAGTCCTGTACTGTGGCCACACTTTTGCTGCCTCAGCCTTCCTCTGCTCCTGGTTCCAGCCATACCTGGGATTAGGGAGACACCAGCCGTCCTAGATCACAGAATTGTCAGCAGTGCCCATTGCACATTTCTTTTTCTTTCCCCTTATTGCCAGGACTTTCTGGCATGTAGTTGTGGATGTAACCCATGCCTATCTTGGATGGTATACATGGGATGCTGAGTTGGGATTGTTTTCCTGTTGGGAACAGCATGTTTAAGCCAGAAGTGAGTTCTCCCTTGGCTTAATGCATCATGCTCAGCTCGCTGTTGTCGCTTTTCCCTAGAGAGTTTGCTCAAGTTCACAAAATGGCACCCACTATGGCACTGGTGGTGGGGTCTGGGCATTGAAATCCGACCTCTTTTCACACCTGACTTCTTGGGATCTGCCGCTCTGGATTAAATAAGTCAGCAGAACCTGCAGGTCTATGGCTGGGTTCACCTCCTGAATTCCCTGTGAACTCCCCTTTCTTCCTGGTTGCCAGTGGAACTCTGATTGCTGGCAGAACTCTGATCACCACGGGGGTGTCTGGTCCCTGCACCAACACTCCACTATCTCTGCCTCTTCTCCATACCCATGTGTCCCCCTCCAGGTGTCCCTCTGCTGTCTGCCTGTCCTCTCCTATTTCCTGGGATCATGCCCTCTCTGAGTCATTTCAACTAATTCTTCTCCATCTGTTTAAACATGTCCTCCCCCTATTCCACCATCTTGAAACTCCCATTTCTTTTTCATGATATGGTGCCACAGGCACACAGATTTTCCCTTATCATGACCTTGTAAGCATACACATCATTTTTTGACTTTTCCTAAGATCCAGTAGTCTGTTTTTTCCTTTTGTTGCCTGTGCCAGTAAACCATTGCTAAATCCAAAGTTGTAAAGCATTTACCTTACATTTTCTAATAAGTGTTTCATTCTTTTAGGTCTTACATTTAGGCCTACATTTGATTAAACTGGAGTTAGCTTTTGCATATGGTATTAGAGTCCAATTACATTCTTTTACATGCAGATGTCCAATTTTTACCATTGGTTCAAGAAGCTGTTACTTGCCCAATTTTGTGATGTTGGTGCCCTTGTGAAAATGGTCAGTGAAATCTACATGGAAGGGTTTAGTTCAGGCTGTGTATTCTATTCCATTGATCTGGATGTCATGCTGATTATTAGCTTTGTAGTAAATTTTTCAATGAGAAAGTGTGAATCCCTTGGCTTCGTTCTTTTTCAGTATTCCTTCAGCCATTTAGGATCTCTTGTGATTCTATGTAAGACTTAGGATGGTTTTTCTCTTCCAGCAAAATATATCATGTGTTTTTGATAGGGGCTGCCTTGCATCTTCAGTTTTCTTTGAGAAATATTGATATCTTATTAATAAGAATGAACCTGAGGATGTGTCACTGTTTGTTTAAGACTTCTTCAGTGTCTTTGAACAATGCTTTATGGTTTTCACCTCCTTGGCTGAGGTAATTCCTATGTATTTTATGCTCCCTGATGCTATTGTAAATGGAGTTGTTTTAATTACTTGCTTTTCAGATTGTTGTTAATGTGTAGAAATCCACCTGATCTTTGTATGTTAACTTTGTAACCGACTACTTTTTAAAATTCACCAGCTCTAACTCTGAGTTTCTGTGTGTGTGATAATCAGGATTTTCTACATGTAATATCAACTATGGACAAACTAATCTTACTTCATACTTTCCAGTGTGGATGCTTGTTTCTTTTTCCTTACCTCGCTTCTCTGGCTAGAACTCCATGGCCACATAACAGAAGTGGGAATCAGCCATCACTGCTTGTTCCTAATTTTAAAGGAAAAGTTACTCATCTTTTATCATTCTCTGTTAATATGTGCGGACTCTGTGTGTCTGTGTTTTAGCATGGTAGGTAGTTTTTATTCCTAATGTGTCAAATGTCTTAATCATGGCCAGCTGTTGACTTTTGCCAAATACCATGCTGTATTAATCAAAATAATTATGTTCTCCCCTTTATTCTGTTTATGCAGATGAGTTACATGAATGAGTTTTCATACTAAACCATCATTACATGCCAGGATTAAATCAAACTCAGTTGTGGTATAAAACTCTTTTAATATCCTGCTGAATTTAGCTTGAAGTGACTGAATATCAGCATTCACACAGGCTTTTGGCATAGAGTTTTCTTGTAGTGTTTGTCTGATTTGCTAACAGGTTAATGCTGGCCTCATAAAGTTTTTTTTAGTGTTTTAGAAAACTTTTCGGAAAACTGATGATAGTTTTTTCAGTGTCTCATGGAATTCACCAGTGATTCCATGAGGTTCAAATTTTCAAAAATTAAATTTATTTTTATCTAGAGAGGGGCTGGGCATGTTTTGCTTTCATGTTCTTTTGTCTTTTAAATATTTTCTGTTTTTCTTTTTGATTCATTGTCATTCATTGGTTGTTTATAATACTGTTTTATTTAATTTCTATGGTTTGTGAATTTCCTATTGATTTCTAACTTTGTTCTGGGGTTGAAGAAACTATCTTATCTGATGCCTGTCTCATAAGATCAAATGAGGACAAAGCTTTTGGCACAGCATGCCAGTGAGGATGTCCGTTTCCCATACTGATTGTGCCTGGGTTCATTGCTAGTTCCAAGTCCAGTTCCACCTTCCTGCTGGTGGGAACCCTTGGAGGGAACAGCAGGTGATGGCTCAGGTGGTCTGATTTCTAATAGACCTTAATGGAGTTACCCACTTCTGGCTGTGGCCTGGCTAAGCCCTAGCTGTGGTGGGCTTTTGGTAAACTAAGCAGTAGATGGGTGCTGCCTGTGTATCATTCTCTTTCTACCTTTCAAATAAATATATTTAATAAGTCTTTCGATCCTTAATTTGTGGAATAGCATGTGATGTGATCTGTCCAACACAACATGTAGGTGAAATGTCATTTATGCCACTGTTAGTGGGTACAATGGTCTGTGTTTGGTGTTAGATATAGTTATTGTGTTGTCCTCTCCTTATTTATTTTTCTGGTTGTTTTAATCATTATTAAGAGTGTGTTGTACAAGTGTCCATTTATTATGATAGGACTGTTTCTTCCATTATTTCTATCCATTTTTACTTTAAATATTTTTATGGTTATTAGGCATGCAACTGTTTTTCTTCTTCTTGCTGTATTATTCATATATATAATTCTTTTCTGGTTCTTGTAGCTCTAATATAAATCTGCTTTGTGAATGTTAATATAGCACTTATGCTTTCTTACTGTTACCAGTTCCATAAACAGCTTTTCCTGTCCCTCATTTTCCAGACTTTTTGTATCTTTGATTCAAGTGAACATTTTATGCAAATTGCATAGTTTGCACATTATTTAATCCTGTTTAATCCATTATTCCAGTATATCTTTTGATTGGACAAATCAACCCACTGATTAATGGTAAAAAAAAAAAAAGAAGGGACTCAGCTTATCATTATTTTTTTTTACTTTATAGCTTTTTCATCCCCAGTTCATACACAACTGTCTTCCATTATGTGTATTTAAATTTTGTAATGAAACATTGACTGTTTTGTTTCTTGTTCCCTTATGTGTATATTCTGCAGCTCTATTTATGGTTAGCATGAAAATTACATTTAATGTCTTAAATTTACAGCATTCCTATTTCAGTTCACGTAAGTTTAACTTCGATGACATAGAAAAATTATACTCCCTTATAGCTCTATCCCTAATTCTTTGGGGTTGTTGAAGTCCACAAGACTATAGCTTTGTGCAATGTATACCCCAAAATATAAAATAATGATTATTATAAAAGACCTAGATTCAAATTTTATAGAAAACAAAATGTAGCGTTACAGAGTTTCAGTAATACTATCTTTAAGTTAATACATCTTTAGAAGTGTTCTCATAAAAATGAACAAGTTGGGTTATCAGCCATTGTTATGATAGACTCGTTCTTAGACTTAGTCATATATTGACTTTGAGCTCTCTCCTCACAGCTTCCGGTTCCTGTCTAATGTCGTGTGACTTCCCCTCCCTCAGGAGCAGCATTCCTGGGAGGGAAGATCTGAGGGCAGAGGGCTCCCTGCTCTTGTGTCGGTCTGGAAAGGCCTGAATTCCTCCCTCACTTTCAAGGTACAGTTTCTCTGGGTCTAAGATTCATGGTGGACAAGTTTTCTTGCTCCCTTTGTGCTTGGATTTTATTAGCCGTCTGCCTCTTGGCCTTCAGTGTTTCTGGTGAGAAGTCCGTTGCTAATCTCAGCAAGCATTTCCTGTGGGAGATGAGACACTTGTCAGATTCTGTCTGGGTCTTCGGCTTTCAGAAATTTGATTATAACATGTCTTTGTGCAGAGTATTTTGTGTTCACTTTTGGAATTTATGATGTTCTTGGCTGTTTATATGCTTATCTGTAATCAAATTTAGGAAATTTCCAGTCATTGTTTCTTCAAATATTGTCCCTGCCTTCTCCCTTTTGTTCCTCTTGTGGATTCCCGTATATGTGTGTTGCTGTGCTTGTCAGTGTTACGTAGGTCCTTTTAGGTTAGGTTTACCTTTTAAAATTTTTTAAAATTTCTCTTCCTCAGATTTGATCATTATCTTCAAATCCACTAATACTTCTGTATACTTAATGTAGGCGTCTGGATCTTAAAATTTTTTCATTTTAATTAGCTTACTTTTCGGGTTCAGAATTTTTGAAAAATTTGTTTAGGGGTCGAATTCCTCTACTAATATTACCACTTGGTTCCTATTGTTCTTGACGTTACAATTATGTGTCAAGTCTGGTAGATCTGCCCCCACGACTTTCTGAGGAACAGTTCCTGCTGACTTAGTTTTTTTTTTTTTTTCAATGGGTCATATTTTTGTAATATTCATCAGTATGTGTTTCTTAGTATCCCTTGTGGTTCTTTAATCGAAAACTGGGCATTCAAATCTAAAGATGTGAGAACTCTGAATAGTAGGTTTCTCCCGCCATAGGATTTGTGTTTTGTCTTAAAAATATTGTATGTTGCCTCTGTGCCAAAGATCTCCATGTCCTATAAACCCAAGCTCTCTTCAGTTCCTCTCTGAACTTGTATCTTTCCAAGGGCATGTGAAATCACTTAGATTTCCCACACACATTAATTCTAAATGGCTAAATCTGTAGTATCTTCCTCCCAAACATGAAAAAAGAGGGAAAAAATGAAGGGCAAGTGTGTGAGTCCTTTCAGTTCCCTGTAAATTGTTGTACCTGGTTGAGAAGGGATTTTCACAAATGGACATGCGCAGTAACAATGGCTTCCCACCCGTCCCTTCAACCCATGTGGTAACAAGTAGCAATCGGTGTTCTCAACACAGGTCCTGGCTATGCGGGGAAAGGCTGATATTTGTTTAACCACCCCACAAGCTGCCAACTGCTGCTGGAAGAATTGTTCAGCTGCTTGCCATGGTTATGAGCGTGTGAGATGAGTCATTCATACTGTGAGAAGAACTAAGGTTGACCAAAATTAACACTGATTTACTTTCCCCCAGAAGTGAGAGGTCTTCAGTAGACTGCACAGTAGCACACTGTTAACTTAAGGCCGATGCTACTGATGCTATTGTCTGGGTGGGAAGACAGACTTCTGGTGCTGCCTACTTTATGTTCTTACCAGAATCCTCTGGAGTAAATTTTGTTTTGCATGGGAAGTTATCCCAAAAATTTTATCTAACTCATTTTAAGTACAATAGAAAGGAAAAAAACACCCCCTTTGCGTATCCAGTAGTCCTCAAGGCACATTATACAATAGTTTCTTCTCTCTTACTCGCAGGCTTCTCTTCCTTCCTCCATTCCTTTGTATGTCCCTTCCTTCCTTGCAACCTTTCAAAACCTGTCTAGTAATTTCTCAATTCATTGTTATGGCTTTTCCATTTCATTAGCTATCCATTTAATTCCCAACATCCACTCCCTTGACAACCTTTGGGCAACTTTCTGTTGACCCTTTCATTGGAACCAAGAGAGAGATCGTGAGATTAACTGCCTAATGAAGGTAGGTGTCATCGTCTAACTCGGAATTCTCGTGTTTTCTTCCACCTTCTTCCCAGGCAGAGGATCTGAGGCAGTTGAAACAATCGGGTGTGTCTTTGTGACTTCTAGAAAACAAGAGGACTATAGAAGAGGGAAAATACAATTAAACCAATGTAGACATTGTTAAGAAATTTATTTGCAATTCTTTTTTGTGGTTTTTGTTTGTTTTTTAAATAACATCATTCCTTGGATAAAAATGCAATCTTACAGGAATATACAATAGTGTCTCACACAGAAATGACCCTGAAGCTCTCCTTGAAAGGTTGCCCCTTCTAGAATCCCTGGCCTTTCTCAAGGGTGAGAAGGCGCAGCAGGCAAGGCCCTTGACATTGGGGCTATTCGATGGTTACAAACTGTACAGCATATTTACAACAATCAGACTGTGAAGTCGTGGAGCCTGGAGGGGTGTGCAGGTGCATGGGGCGGGGATGAAGACAATGGGGACACTGTCCACCTTCCCGTGCCTCTCTGCAAACAGATGTGGTACACACTGGATGGGGCGCGTATGTGACCCGAACTGGAGCACAACAGGAGAGGATGGAGGGGAATTCTCTGGAATATTTTATGTAGAAGACAATTTAACTTCTAGTCCCAGTGAATTAAAATAAGCGGAAAATCATGAGTGTTACAGACATTCCAGTGCTTCCCCATGTAGGAGTCTCATTAATAATAAATTTGTGGATTTGTCCACATTTCTGTCACCACAGAGGCATCTGAACTTGGTTATGTCTTTGTTTTCCATGGCCTATTTCAGAACAGGGCCTTGTGCCCATGAAGTTCCGAGAGAGAGAGAGCCCACACAGCGGGCAGATGGTACAGTAACCGAGTGGCATTCAACTGGACTAGGAAGTAAAGATGGAATTCAGGATGGAGAGATGGGATGCAGCAGATGCATGGATGGGTGGCATGGACGCAGACAGCACAGTGGTCAGACCACTGGGCATGCCTTCTGCAGGATGCCTTGGCACAGGACTATAGAGGTACCATCTGTCCTCGCGTTCACCCCCCTCATCATTTAAGTTGGGTGCAGTCTCTCCACATTGTGATGTCTTGCGGGGAGGTGCTTTGTGCAGGATCTAGTGACCCTCCATCCTCTCTTGCTGCTTCTGTGGCTCTACAGAAAGAAAACTTCCCTTCTCTCTCCTCCTGGCTAAAGGTGCATGAGACTGCATCAAGGGGGTCTGACACTTGTCCCCCCTGGTTCCTGTGGCAGACAAGCACCACTTTCTTCTTTATCTGCATGCTCATGAACTTGAAGGCCAGGAGACCAGAGAAAGGATTCTTCAGACTCAGATTGTAAGCACCACTCTGCCCATTTCTGCATCCCACCCCATAGAAACTGCCCTCCAGAAGCATCCAGAGCCCTCTTCCTTCCAGAGGCTTCTTCAGTGCGGACCTTGGTGGGAGGCACAAGACTGAGTTTTACACAGGAAATTTGCAGTAAATGCCAGCTTCCTCTCAGGTGATTGGTGTGTTACCCTTTTCTTGGAGCCTTATAAACAATTTCTATCCTGAAAACCAGGGCACAATACCAAGAGGAGGGGTTCCTCTGGAAGCAACCAGCATCTGTTCTGAAGGGGGAGAGTCTAGTTCTGGCAACGGAACATGTCCAACTTACATTTCTTAATCTTTTTTTCCTGGTCTTTCTCAATATTAGCAGAGGATTAAGAGTGTTTTCACAATCAAGCTTGATTCGGGCTCAGCTCTGTGTGGAATGGATTTGCCATAGTTCATACATTCACAACCCCAGTGCTCTTTCAGACTCCCTAAAAGGCCATTTCTAAAATCCCAGAAGGAAAGGGTTCTTCACCCCTTCATTGCTGCCGTCCAAGTTCTGACCATCATCTCAAGGACAGGGGAGTGTTGCTTTTAGGGGTAGGAGTTATCCTCAAGTGTAAACACATCACATTTATTGCCTAATTACAACAGGCTCAGATAGTACTATTCCCACTGTTGGATGTTGGGCTGGTCTGCCTGTATCTCTTTATACAAAGACTGCTCCCTTAGGGGAAAAGCCACATAAGGGACTTCAGCCCCAACCTGGGGGCTGTGTGTGTGTGTGTGGTGGGCAAGTACCTCTCTCACAATTAAGACCTCTAGAAATGCATTTGTCTGCTTACATTTGTATCTGGCTCCTAAAGCAAGATTCCACTGCTGTGAAATATCAAAGTGAAAACCCTAAGTGGCTTTAGTAAGACCTGCTACCAGGCAGGCCTGCAGGATGAGGGGATGGCTGAGGGCAGGCAAGAGGCAGGGAGCAAAACTGCTTGGGGAGGGGAACCAGCACCCTCTCTCACCTCTGACACAAGCACAGGATGCTTCTTGACTTTCGTGGGGAACGCCAAAGCATCATGGAAAATGAGTATTATGAAAAAAATTCTGCATAGATTTTCTTTTGCACAAAAATAAATCGTTTGCTTCTATTCCCCACAACTCCCACAGCTCCTCAATATGCAGCTGTAGAACCACGACTTGGAGGACTAAGAGCTTCCCTCCTGCTTCTGATAGGAGCCTGGGCTGGGCTGCTCACTGAATAACAGAAGAAACTGTGGGATTCACAGCAGACACCACCTGGCCAAGCAGGCTCAGGGGAGAAGTCATTGTTCTCACCATCTAAAGTAGATCATCTCCGAGAAAGAGAACTGGAGGTAGGCTCCCGGTAAGACACCTGCATACACATCCCATCTCAGGGTACCCACTTTGATGCTCAGCTCCAGCTTCCCATTAGAGCCACGAAGACTCAAGTCATTGGGTTCCTGCCCCATCACACAAGAGACCTCGATTGAGTTCCCAGCTCCTAGATTTGGCCTCGCCCCAGTCCTGGCCATTGTGGGAACTAGTAGATGAGAGCTCCTTCCATCCATTGAACCCTTACTCTCTCAAATGAATGCATAAAAACATTAGCCAACCACAATCATCCCAGATTTGATATCAGCAAGGAGTGCATGTGTGAGTTTAACTTCTCTGGGGTTTAAAGAGCTCTTCCAATCTCTTTGCTGAACTGTTTCTAACTCCTAGGCAATGCTATTTCAGTTATTCCAGGTCTCTGAAGGCAGGGGGAGATGGAATTTTCCTCCTTGGCTATGTTTCTGACTATGATTTCATGAGGCTGCCAGTCCTGGATACCAGGGCTCTGCAGTGCAGCCAAGCTTGCTTTATTTCTTGGCCTTCAGAAGGAATAGGTATGCATCAGTTGACCGCTGTGTAACAGCTGTCAGCTCCTGGATGACTTATAAGTCATATCCATCCTATTCCTCAGAATGACACCAACTTGGGCGTTCAGAGTTAGGAAAGCACTCCCAAAAGGTGATGGCTGGAATCATCTGTGGTTCAAAAAAATTAAAATCCACACATAGTGTTTTTTTTCCACAATATCCATTTTCCACATCTTTGTTCAAGATTGACTTTACTTCAGTAAGATTCCTCGTATTTCAAATTTTCTACACAAAACAAACCTTTCTTCAAAAAAAATCTTTTTTTGTGATCATGAAGAAACAGCAAGCAGCTTCACTTTCAATAGCGCCTTAGCATTGGGACCCAGAGAAACACGGGTGCACAGACGGCCTGGCCTTGTTCCCTTCTTGCCTTTGGACCTTCCACTCAGTGGGAAGCCTACTGAATTGTTGAATTCCAGCAGGCACAAATCTATGAATCCAACCAAAACCGATGGGAAAATACTTCTTTATGCCTCAAGAACAAAAGACCCTTTGAGGAGCAGGCGCAAAAGAGAGAATGGAAGACCTTTCAGTGTGGCTTGGCCATGCACACGACTGACTATGGAGAGACTACAGGATGGAAACAGAAGAATCAGGACTGGTGAGATGACAAAGAAAAGCAAAGTCCACACTGTGCTTGGGTAAGTGCTACGGTTCCCAGTCACAGGCTACTTCCCTCCCACCACCAGCAGGTTCAAAGAAGAGGTGATGACTGTATTAACAAGGGCCTGGGGGCAGGGGGGCTAGCTGGATTTCAGGCAGAAGAAACAACCCATGGTGCACGTGCCTCACTCATTCCACCACTGCTTGCACCACTGTCACCATCATCATGAGGTCAGGCTAAGGAAGCCCACTGTCCCAGAAGGGGATCTCCTGTCTGCACGCCCCTTCCTACCTGACAGACAAGGGCAAGGTGCCCTTGTCCCTACTGATGCCACTTGGATGCAGTGCAAGGACAAGGGCTGCTTCTGGTTTTCTTGCCAGCCTTGGTTATCTAGGAGAAAGAAGATGGAGGGAGTCGGTACTGAAGGGAATTATGGTGGGCAATCCTGAGGAGCAGCCAGCATCAGCCCAGCCTGTGGTCCAAGCCACTGAGACCTGGAGGCACAGAGGGAAAGTTCAGAACAAAAAGAGAAGGCAGCATGAGAAGCTGAGTGAGCACACAGGCAGGTGTGCGTCGGGGCAGTCAGAATCCCACATGCCCAGGTTTGGACCAGACACAGCAGGAACCTGAGTGTGCTCAAGAGAAGTCCCCGCGTCTCCGAACTCCTTGCACAGTGGGTAGAACTTTGGGGAAAGTGAGCCAAGGATGACACCTAACCTTCATTTCTGGAATACCTGGATGGCACTGAGAAGGAATCATGAAAGTGCATGTGGACTGGGCACGAGGATCATGAAGAATCTTTCTGGAATGTACATGAATCTGGGACTATCTGGAACACATCCATGCGTGATCAGGAATCGGCGCTTGAAGGTGCAGCTCAGCTTCCCTGAGGAGCACACTGCCCACCACGCTCATTTCTATTGTGCTTGTAGTTGGGCCAAGAAGGGCTGATGGGGGAATGGAAGAGAGCCAGCGGGTAAGTCGGGGGTGAATTGGTGGGTCCTAGTTCCCCCAGTCAGTTCCCTTAGAAACATCGTGGGTGAGACAGACCTGCAGGACACAGCTCCAATAGGATTGACTTGAATGGGCCTACCTGCACCTCCAAGAAACTCATTTGTCTTGGGAGCTCCTGGTGCTTCGTCCCTGTGTCCAGGTCCCCTCCTCTGCTCCTGCACACCGTAGGCGGCTCTCAAGGCAGAGCCGTGGAAGGGAGGAGAGGGAAGAGGAGACAGTCATGACCTTGACTCTTGAGTGCAGCCAGGTTTTGCTCAGGTGCCTTTTTCTAGGCCCCGCTGGAGCAGAGCAGCCATCCAAAGGGAAGGAAGAGGCCCCTCCCTGCTATGCTGTCAGTCAGTGGGCACCACTGGGAGGGAACCATCTCTTGCACAGACGGGTACAGACACAACCCCGTGACAAAGAGGCCAATGAGAATGCCACGCTGCTCCACGTGGGGAAGGGCTGTGCTCAGAAGCAGAGGAAGGAGAAACAGAATGACACCTGGTCTCTCAGGGCGAGCTGTGCTGTGGACGGAGGGTAATGCAAGCACGCACAAGATATGCAAAACAGTGATGTCCCAGCCCACGGGGGGACAGCAGCACGGAGGCTGGCCTGGGCAGGCCCTCTGCTCGGGGCACACATTAGAGGCAGCATCCCCTCCCCAGGCACAGAGAAAAGCGCGTGACACTCCAAATATGAAATGATTTACTTTACATGCAGCAAAACGTACAAGTGAATTCAAAAACAAACTTAATTCAGTTCAGTATATTCGCTTGGCACAATTGCAATTCAGTTTTTTAAAAAAATATTTGAAAAATACTGAAAACTGACCTGAATTCAAGTATAACGGTTTCTTCAACAGAAACATTGTCAATGCAATAAAACATTACACGGAATATATTGAAGCAAAAATGTCTTGTGTTTTTCCCTTAAATTTCTCTGTGGTGTTTTTTTTTTAAATACAGTTTTAATGCCAACACAACTCACAATTTTACTTTTAAAATGAATATTATTGCATTGTTTTTGCATATCTTGTGGGACAGAAAATGCAGTTACTGATTGCCGTTTCAGAAGTAAAGCCAGTGGTTGGTTTTTGCTCTCCAATGGCCCCACACTCAGACCTTCCCACAGCTCAACCAGAAGGGGAAGTGAGACACCGTGTGGGTACACACACACACACACACACACACACACACACACAAACACACTCAGCCACTCTCCCTCCCCCCTGCACTCACCACTCACCAGCATAACGGAACCTAGCTCCATCACCCGGATATGTGCAAGACCTTATCAAGTGCATCGCCAATTACCTTTAAATTATAAATCTAAACCAAACCAGAAAATTAAATACAAAAAGAAAAAAGAACAAATCTGGGAGCGTACACAACGGCTGGTAAAACTCCTACAACGGCTTCTAAAAAAAGCCTCTCTCCTCGGGCCAAATGACCCACAACCTTTTAATAATACAAAAACCCAAACCAGATTTATATATGCAAAGTGAAGGCAGGAAAGTGGGCAGCCACAAAATAGATCAAAGCTCTTCTTCCACCTCTCCCCCTGGGAAAGCAAAATTAGAATGATTTAAAAAATAAAACATGAAAACTGCAACATGCTGTCCATAAAGAAAATTAAAAAAAAAAAAGGCAAACCACCAAATGCAAGAACGCTAGACACGCGCAGCACCGCCACCCTGTCTGGCTGCGCGCTGCAGGCCCCAGCTCCTGGCCCTGACCCTGGTGCCAGTGCGCCACCCAGCTGGGCACTCCCCAGTAGGCAGAGGTGGGCGCCATCAGGAGACAGGTCCAGTAGGGACACTTGGAGCGAGGGGCAGGACTTCAAGGGCACCCCGCGCAGTGCCTCCTGCCACGTCCTCGCCCCTCCTGTGTCCACAGGGATCCTTGCCCCAAGTCCTGCCCTGTGCCCTTGGCCCAGTCCACAGGGTCTGGCTCTAATGGAGACAGTGAGGCTCATACGGAGTATGTGCAAATGGGTTTTGTTTTGTTTACAAGCAAAGTTGAGAGACACCCGTTTGCGTCAGGGTCCTTCTGGCGAGTGAGGGCCATCACAGGAAGCCGAGGTTCTCTCTCTGCAGCCCAGGGACAGGCCCTCGCAGCAGAGCTTGCCGGCTGGTCACTCCCCTCCCAGTCTACTCTCTCCTCCTCGCCTCTAGATGTGCAAACACAGAGGGCTCCACACCTCCCAACCTGCTTCTCATCCCAACAGAAATGAATGAAGACGCTGTTCCGGTTAACTCCAGGTCACGAGAACAGTGAGGCACTTCTGAAACGAACCCATTAGGAACATTGAGACAAAAATAATAATAATAATTAATAATAATACCCGCACCCCCGGGCCCCTGCACCTTACAGGCTGTGGTCTGCGAGGCCCTCCTCGCTCTGCCCACACCGGGGGGCACGCACATTGCTCGCGTCCTGTTCGCTCTGCCCCATTCTGTCCCGGCCCGGGTCCCTGCGGTTCACAAAAGGTAAGAGGGTGCCGTTGGGGCTCTGCCGGGCGCCCCCACTGAGGATGTCATCGGCCGCGTTCTCCATCTCCTCTATGGTCAGGTCGCAGGCGTCGGCCAGCTCCTGGGTTGTGACCTGGAGGAACTTGGGATCTTGAGCAAAGTGCCCCAGTCCTTCTGATATCAAGACCTGAAGGGTCATGGGGGGAAAAAGCACAGAGGGAAATTATTATCAGCAGAGCTGATCTGGGGTAAGGGGCTTGCAGGGCAATCTGTGGCAAAGCAATTGTGCTGGTCTAGGGGTGTCGGGGAGGGTGGTGCTCCCAGGGAAATAGAGATGGGGTCTGGCCACAGGATGTAGTGCTGGCCGCGGGGGAAGGAGCAAGGGAAGGCCATAGGAGATGCTCTGCTGTACAGGCCATTCATAACACACTCCACAAGGAATCCTCCTCCTCCCGGGGGGAACTAAAAAACTGCTAACTGCCCCAACCCACTTGGCTGCCTCCCCGGGCCTGAGGATCCTGGCAAGGACATGCATGGTACCACACACCCATCCGCACATCTCTGGCTGCCCAGAAGGGCTGGGGATGACCCTCCACATCCCGGGAGCATCAGCTCCCAAGAGGATAGTGCCTGCCACACACTGCTGGGGACTCACATGGGCCTGTCCCCGCTGGCTTCCACTCTGGCACCTTCCCCAACTCCTGCCTGAAGGCTTATCACTGTCTGCTATTCCTAGGGAGAGCTCACACATGCAGAATCCTGCACCCATACCTAGCCCAGCACACACACCAACACAGGGCATAGGGATCCCAGGCCTGGTGAAACTGCAGTCTGTTCTTGCCCCAGGGGTACGAGAGGTGATGCTTTCTAGGGAAGACCTCTCAGTGTAAGGCAGGCTTCATCAGATGGCTCTTCCTCAGGGACCAGAGCCAGCCCACCTGTCTGTGTGAGCCAGCTGCTCTGGCCCAGCCTCTCCTTAGGTCATCTTCCTCTGGGCTTGTTCTGATTTGTCAAAGGAACCCTCAAATGTGTGGTGCCAAGATAGTGTTTGAATGCCCAGACTGGGTG